AGATGAACAAGAACAATAAACCAACTCATTCGTAAACAGTCGGCACTAAGTTCAGTGATCCACGTAATCCATTAGGTTAACCCAGTAATTTGGATTTGTTATCTGTAGTAGGTTTCCAAAAATGCCTTATGTATCCCTAAAAAGTCAGTTAACCTATATGAAATAGGCTGTTTCAAATATTTTGGAATATAATATAAATGATCATTTAATTTTTAATATCATAAATATAGGAAATTAGATGTTTAAACTACCTTTTTAAATCGAGATTTAGAAGAAACTGTAGATATATACAGTTTGGAAATCACTTATCGAATAAAACTATTTTTGGCCCTATTTTAGAAAATTATAAAAAACGCTGGGACATGTTAACTCCGAACAAACATATAAATTTACAAAGTGATTCACGTAAGTTTAGCACTGTCGGTACCCTTTTGTTATTTTTGAAAGCTCCGTAATAAGCTGACTTCAACGAACTATAATATTTATGGTCCTATGAATAATACAGAGTGAAATTTAAAAATTATTCATTTCCTTTATGAAAAGAAATACTTGATATTATTTGATTAAAGCAAATGCACAAAATGTTGACAATATGTTATAAAACTCCTGCCTAACATTTTTTAAAGTTTGAGGTGAAATATTCCTTGCCAAAATAAGTTTTTAATTGAGAATTCAATATTTTAATATAAAATATCAACACACTAACAATTTTAGAAGTAACAGATAACAAATTTACCGATTATACACTGTGTGCTCCCTTCTTCAGATGATAAGTAAACGTAGTACTCATTTATGAGCTAGTTGTGTACCATAGTCCAAAGCCTGCAAAGCCAAAACTTATAACCTCACTTTCTTTGTAGTTCCCGCATTTTGCGGGCGTAGCTCACTTTTCATTTTGGTGCCAAGTTGTGTACATACGTCAAAAAGAAAATGTTTTAAATTTTAATAAAATATAGGAAAATATTATTATTAATAAACAGAAACGTCGGACAACGACTTGAAATTGTGTCGTTTAAGTAAGAAGGTAAAAACACTAAAGAAACAACAAACAGAAAGGAAGAAATCTTAAACAGTGAGAGCGACTCTAATGAAGAAAATCACCAATGTAAATAGAATATTTAGACATAGAAAATGCAGTTCGTCCAATTTTAGTTCTCTGGCAGAAGAACCAGAGATAGTATTTATTTATTAACAAAAGAATGCAGGTAGCTTAAAAATAAATGGATTGTTTTAGATTACAAAAGAAATTGGAGACGGACGATGGTAAACTGGACACACTTTTTCTTTCTGATCACTTTACATGTGATTCCAGATAATGCCATAACTTAGTGAGAGTTTTATTTAAAACTCAGTGCGGGTTTATAATTAATCCAGTGCGGATTAAATAGACTCAGAGCGAGTCTAGGACCCAGTGCGGGTCCCAGGTTCAGTGCGGACCTGTTAAATCATAAAGGAAAAGAAGAAACTGGTTTTTTGATAGCATCAAATAATTAGCAAAATTTTATATGGAGGATGATGGTAAACTGGACTTAATTACTTTTTCTTTCAGTTCACATTACTTTACATGTGATTCCAGATAGTGTCATAACTCAGTGTGAGTTTTATCAAAGTGTCCCCACAAAAACACAAAAAAATCCAATGGATTAGGATCTGGTGATCGTAGCGACCGTTTTATAAAACCTCTCCTTTCAATCCAGTAATACATAATATTACATTTCACACCTCCTCGAATATTATTATTAACTCCCCCATATGGTTATTTTTCAATGGGCCATCCTCTATATTATGTCCTGTTGTGTTATTTGTTTTCAATCGAATCATTTCTCAATAATTAAATTTTGTATTATTACAAATTTTATCGCTTATGTCGTATCATTAGTCCATGTTGGTCGACAAAAGGTCACCGAAATATATGCAATAAGATGTATTTGCCGACTCAAATTATTTGAAATGCTGATAACTGATAACCCAATAAGTAATAATAAAAATCCTTATCTGTTAACAATTGAAATTGAAAAGAAAATGTTATTCATGATAAAGACAAAGGTATAATCTGTATAATTTGTTACTGTTATATAAGATTCATTTACAAAAATTATCGTATTACAATAAAAACAAAATTGGATAAAGTACAAAACCGGTTTGGAACTCGTATTTAATTTTAGAGTTATTTACCTATCTAATTATTTCTAATTTATTAAGTAATGTTTGGTGAGTCAAATGCTTTGGAGAGATCAATAAACACCTCTGGTGTAAGATTTCCTTTATAAAAAGCATCGAAAAATGTATTTACAGAAAATGGCAGTAAGTAGGTATAGTATGAATTTTTTTTTAAATTTCTGTTTAAATTAAAGATGATTTATTAAAATTCAAACAAGGAATCTAAGGAATCTAAGGAATCTAAGGAATCTAAGGAATCTAAGGAATCTAAGGAATCTAAGGAATCTAAGGAATCTAAGGAATCTAAGGAATCTAAGGAATCTAAGGAATCTAAGGAATCTAAGGAATCTAAGGAATCTAAGGAATCTAAGGAATCTAAGGAATCTAAGGAATCTAAGGAATCTAAGGAATCTAAGGAATCTAAGGAATCTAAGGAATCTAAGGAATCTAAGGAATCTAAGGAATCTAAGGAATCTAAGGAATCTAAGGAATCTAAGGAATCTAAGAAATCTAAGGAATCTAAGGAATCTAAGGAATCTAAGGAATCTAAGGAATCTAAGGAATCTAAGGAATCTAAGGAATCTAAGGAATCTAAGGAATCTAAGGAATCTAAGGAATCTAAGGAATCTAAGGAATCTAAGGAATCTAAGGAATCTAAGGAATCTAAGGAATCTAAGGAATCTAAGGAATCTAAGGAATCTAAGGAATCTAAGGAATCTAAGGAATCTAAGGAATCTGAGGAATCTAAGGAATCTAAGGAATCTAAGGAATCTAAGGAATCTAAGGAATCTAAGGAATCTAAGGAATCTAAGGAATCTAAGGAATCTAAGGAATCTAAGGAATCTAAGGAATCTAAGGAATCTAAGGAATCTAAGGAATCTAAGGAATCTAAGGAATCTAAGGAATCTAAGGAATCTAAGGAATCTAAGGAATCTAAGGAATCTAAGGAATCTAAGGAATCTAAGGAATCTAAGGAATCTAAGGAATCTAAGGAATCTAAGGAATCTAAGGAATCTAAGGAATCTAAGGAATCTAAGGAATCTAAGGAATCTAAGGAATCTAAGGGATCTAAGGAATTAAAAAAATCTCAGGAATCTGAGGTTTAAAAAAATCTAAGGAAAATGAGGAATCTAAGGAATCTAATGAATCTGAGGAATTTGAGGAATCTGAGGAATCTGAGGAATCTGAGGAATCTGATGAATCTGATGAATCTGATGAATCTGATGAATCTGATGAATCTGATGAATCTGATGAATCTGATGAATCTGATGAATCTGATGAATCTGATGAATCTGATGAATCTGATGAATCTGATGATCTGGGGGAATCTGAGTAATCTGAGGAATACAAGGAATCAGGGGAATAAAGAATCAAAGGAATCGAAGGAATCAGAGAAATCAAAAGAATTAAATGAATCAAAGGAAGATATAGGAATTTTAAATATTTCGAAAGAGATAAATTATTGCTTTATAATTTTCTACAAATAATGAATCGAGTATTTAAAATTTTTTCTCTGCTCTACGTGACAGTCAACCCTCAAATATTTGCTATCTGACCTTCTGAGCACAAAAATCGTATCTGCATTTTTGTCTATATTAGAGGTAAGGGCTTAGTTACTGAGATACAGGGTCAAGTTTGAAATTAAAACAAAAAATTATCCATAAATCAAAAACATCCTGATAACGCGCAATTGTTTAAAATTTTCGAAATTTTCAATGATACCATGTATACATTAAGAAGAATTTTGAAAAAGTATTATTTTTTAAGTACCCAAGTACCTACATGCTTTAAAAATATGATTTGATGTGGCTCATATCGACTTCAAAGGTGTTTTAAAATTATTTGCAAGTATTGCCGCTATACTGGATGGCAGTGCCATCTTTAAATTTGTGGGTTAAAAGTTCTTTTATGTACATAGAAAACAGTATCGGACCAAGTACAGTGCCTTGTGGGACACCATAAGTTACTTTACTAATATTTAAATATTATTTAAAAACTTCTAATGATGTAGCTTTAATTACAAATCTGTCAAGAATAACAATTAATTTTTTGTGGTCAGCTGTATCGAATACTTTAGCTAAATCTAAAAATACACATTTTTATAAATATTATTTGTTAAGAAGTTTATTGCTTGTTTTGTAGAAATGTCTTTTTGTTATTCCAAATTGTCAGATATTTTTTTAAATATAAATAATACTTTTTCTATAATTTTTGACAGGTTTAAAATCAAGTAAGAAGTAAATTATTTATTACTGGGTAACCCTGTATACAAGAAAATATTTTTTATATATATTTTTTTAAACTATGAATTTGGTTTATCTGGTTCTGTACATTAACAAGATTTTTTAAAATTTGATAGTTTATAATTATTATAGATATTAATATAAAAATAAACCAATAAACAATATGAAGTGGTGCTTTTTTAATAAATGTTCTTTAAAATACCTGTATGTGTATTTGTACAATATTTTATTATTATAAAGTATTATTTGAAAATTTCTAAAATTTAATAACAAACAATGTAAAAGTAGTAAAATATTTATTACATGGGTAACACTATATATACGAAAATAATTTTATTTATATTTATTTACCTAAATCATATAGTAATTATAAATATTAATACAAAAAACAAAAAAATAAATTATATGAAGTGGTTTTTCTTTAATAATGTATTATTTATTAAACCTGTATTTTAATTTAAAATACTCTTTTGAATATTGATAATTTCCTGACAGTTATAATATAAAAACTTTTATTTATTTAAAAAATTCAATTATTTCTTTTGTTATTTCCATTGCCTATCTAAACACATAATAATTCAAAAATAACGTAGGTACCTGATTGTAATCTCCAAAAAGTCAAAACGAATCGAAATCCACTCAAAAAAAGAACCGAAAACTATTAAAAAACTTTAAATCGGTACTATAAGCAAGTACGTTTCGAAATTCGGCCACACGATCTCTACAGAAGTATCCACTCGAAGCAACGAAGCAACTGATGGCGATTATCGCGACTACGAATTTTATAAGAAATCCCGCCACCAACCAACGTACTCAGTGTGTGTACATACTTTAACGTGATGCAAAAAAAGATGGCGAAATTTTCGCGATAATTGCACCCGACCTTTTCCATGAAAGATAATGAAAATAGAAACGATATTTAGGGAGTGGAGCGCAAAAGAAACACCCTTTTATCACTCTTATTTCATCGATTTAAAAACAAAGCATTCAAATACAAGTTAAAGTAAAATAAAATACATAACATAAAAAACAAATACACTTCTGGTCAAGATGAAAGCCCAGGCTTGGCTAGTATTATAGAGTATTTGACTTACCTTGTCAATTTAACTTTTCTAAAAGGTAAATTTGCTAATGTAATAACAGTTGGGATTGTGGGAAAGGTTCCATCCACTAATTCCATGGATAATTATCGTCCCATTTCAATTACGTCAAGTTCCTCAAAAGTATTGGAATTTCCTGATCGTATTTTAAAATGCCCTAAAGCTAGGAAATGTTATACAGGGGCATTTTGACCGAAACAAGGTATTTGACTGTGTAAATAATGAATTATTATTCCCAACATTTTTTTCCAAGCGCAGCTAATATGTAAGCATCCCAAACATTAATTCTGGAATTGTTACCTACATTATTTCAAAGAACAAAATTATCGATACAGGATCTATCTTAGGTCCTCTTTTATTTCTATTGTATTGTGATGATGTTGTGTACCAAATAAGATGATCTACGGTCAAAGCGGTCTACTATAGACCTACACCATCTCATGCAGAATATGGAAACAACAAAGGTACTTGCGTTCCTCAAAACCCAAAACCAAGGGCTCCAAATGGAACAGTGGCAAGTCATTCACAGGGAAGACAACGGTCAAACAAACCATTGCACTGTTGATTGACGACGACTCTTTGAAGGCTTTAGAAAACCTGCAGTTAAAAACTCTATCTGGGTCTAACTCAGGCAATCTTCAGAGTGCAAAGGGAGAGGAAGGAAGAACCTTCAGATGCTTAGAATAGTGCAAGCTAATCTGAGACACTGCAAGGACGCATCCGCAAACTTTGCACGTACCATTATCAGGGAGGACATAGACGTAGCCCTAATACAAGAACCCTGGATTATACAATAACCAATGTGGAAATACTAGGGCTTGTATATACATACGAAATGGTCTAGACATCCTCAACTTACAAGATTTCGGTTTTAGAGACCTAGTAGCAGTAAGGATGGAAATAAACATAGCAGGCAACAAGAGGCCACTCATTTTAACCTATGCATTCCTTCCCTTTGACTCGCCCAGCCCACCACCAACAGATGAGCTGAGGGATTTAGTAGATACCTGTCTGGCCGAAAACCTACAGGTACTCATTGCTGCTGGCGCAAATTCACACCATATAACATGGGGCAGCAAGGACAACAACAAAATATTGAATCGTGGAAACGAACCTACTTTTTTAATCAGTAGACGGAGCGAGGTTATTGATATTACCTTTGGTTCTTCCTTCGTATCGAATCACATTAGCAAGTGGTACGTGTCTAGAGAGCCTTCGCTCTCAGATCATCGGCATATTCTCATGGAAATCGACAACGTCGATAAACCAGGAGATATATACCGAGACCGACATAAAACCGATTGATTTGGATACGGAGTGGAGCTGGGGGCAGTGTTAAAATAACTCTTAATACTAAAAATGATATAGATGAAGTTGCAGAACAACTACGGGACGCAATCATAACATCATATCACAATAACTGCTCGTTAAAGAACAGGAAAACTTCTAGAGAGGTGAGTTGGTGGAATACCGAATTCGCCAAACTCAAAAGGAAAACACGTAAAGGCTAAAAAGACGAATGAGTCAGGATGAATACACCGAAACACTCATAGAGTATAACAAAACTCTTAGGAAATCTAAGAGGGATTCATGGAGAACATTCTGTCAGGAAATTGAAAATACAACTGAAGGATGCATTCTAGCAAAAGATCCAATAAACCCTGTGGGGACTTTAAAAACCCAAAGAGGGGAATACACTAAAACTGGAATGGAAACAGAACTACTTCTTAAAACTCATTTCCCTGATTGCACAACAAACTCGAATGTAGCAAACTAAATCCACACGAACTGGAACTCTTAAAAAAGAGTCTCCAGCCAAGAGGGGGAAAACTGCTAAACAGGTAGTTACAACAGAGAAAGTAACATGGACAATACGCACCTTCAATCCAACAATTCACCGTGACCAGATGGGGTACTGCCTGTGCTTTTGCAACAGGCAATAGAAACGCTGGCTCCGCATATTTGTAGGCTCTACAGGACAAGTTTGGTGCATAAACATGTACCAAATACCTGAAAACAAAGCAGAGTTGTCTTTATACTTAAACCAGGGTGTCTAACGTATGCCGTGGCAAAGACCTATAGATCAATAACTCTGACGTCATTTCTATTGAAAGGATTGGAAAAACTGTCCGGCAAACCATTCTTATAGAGAGGCCATTTCATACAAACCAACATGCCTATCAATCAGGAAAATCTTGTGTGTGTGCTCTGTATTATCTTGTAGGGAATCAGTAGCCAAGAAATAGTCCTAGAAGCATTTCTTGACATAGAAGGAGCTTTTAATAATACCTCCTTTAAATCAATGGTAGCTGCCGCTCGCAAACATGGAGTAGAAGACACCATCATAATTGTTACTTAACACTATAATGTATCATACGATTTACCAATCATAATGGAGTTTTGCCAGGCAATGTTAGAAAAAACCAAAGAGACCCACATTTCTTCAATAAAATTATTTTCACCGATGAAACCACATTTACAAGTTTTCTCTTATTAGATGAGGTGATCCTTAAGATAAATAACCAAAATATGTAAGATTTTATCAAATCTTGAGTTTTTTTGCGTGTGGCAGATAAGCGCGATCAAATTTTCCATTAATTTACATCCATCCATTTAAATAACAACCATATTAAAAGATATTTCGCATGAGTACCTACTATTTGTATTATAATAAAATCATGTCTACAAGAAAGACCAATTCATTGCGAAATTTCCACAAAAACTAAATTGATTCCAGTACATTTAAATGTACCACACACAGAGAGAAATTCATACTCATATTAGTCATATTAACCAAAAAATAAGCATTTTCGGGCTTGTTTTTATCCACATCCACATATTTTATTTAAGAAATAGTGGGAACCGTACCTATCGCGAAATAACACCTCGTATTTTCACTTTTACTTGGACAAAATTGTGATATTCCATAGCTTATTTGATAGTTCATATTGAAACAATACATGGCAAACTTTTAATGTTAGTAAAGATATTAGAGAATTGAAGTGATGCTATAAACGTAAATGTGTACGTGAAAACTGACATCTGCGCATGCGTATTCAAATATCCTTCACGTTCATGTCTACGTAAATACGTAAGTAAATATAGTTGATTTGCTTCTACTAGATAGTAATTTTAAATACATTTAAAAATTTGGAAAGGGTGGTTATTCTTCTATCATCCAAATGAGACAAGATGTATCGAATATCAAATGGGGCTGATAAACCAGCCTTCGTTAGTTCCAAATACACATCAAAAAGAGGAGATTTATTAATGGGACACTCTAAGATGATGTGATTTAACGATCCAACTTCTCCACACTCGCAAAATGGGTCATCTTTAATGCCAATTCGAAATAAGTGACATGGGGTTAGACAATGGCCAGTTCCCATCCGTATGATTGTGGAAAGGTACCTTCTTTCATAGCATTGTTTACTATTGAACTACGGAGTTTTGGGTATTTCAGGGACCACTTGGAAGTAAAAAGATGTTTTCTTCTCTTTTAGTGAATTCCATTGTTGATGTCATTTGTTCCAAATTTCTTGTTTAATGAAGGGTAAAAAGTTAGACTTAGGGGCCTATTCTGTAACAATTCCTTTATATTTAACGGCCTTTAAAAATATTTTCTTCTTTACTTCTGTCATTATTTAAACGGATCTTTAAAATACATTAGAGGATTATCTTAAAGAAATCTGTTTAAATAATGACAGAAGTAAATTAACGAATACGAACATATTTTTAAAGGCCGCCAATATTTTTAAAGGCCGTTTATGTTTATGTAGGCTTTCTAATGTGTCATTTCTAACCTCAGAGCTTTTAGTTCCCATAAAAGGGTAAAATAAAAGTCGGAAGTACTTTGGTATGTTTGATTGTCTCCTAATATACAATCACACGTTTCCACGGAACTACTGAATTACGCATTGTCTAATAAAAGAGAGTACAACGGTAGCACGAGGAGTGTTGTGAGATCTAAAATATTGTGTTGAATTGAGAACCTCTTCCTTTTTGAAGTCGGTTAAATTTAATATTTCTAATATGTGTAAAACCGGAGTGTAGATTTACCTCACCGTTCGTCACGCCTTTCTCTAATATTCCAACGCCGTAATTTACCGACATACTCAGTCCTGTATGGACAACACTAAACGGTCGATCGGAGAACACCTGATATAAAGGGGGATGCCCGTCAGGCCCACTTTTGGGGTATCTCAGTAAAGATCCATCCAAGCCTCTATCAGGCTTTAATTTACATAGCCGCAAGGGAAATACCATTTTTAGGCCCTTACTATTGAGGTCCCTGGCGGTCTATGGTGGCTTAAGGCGTCTTTTTTGGCACGATGCTCTTTTGCCCTGTCGATTGACAAATCAGTGTTATTAGTCGCAGTTCTGAGGATACGTTAGCTAGTCCACAAACACAATTTAACCTATTTATTCTAAATAAACAACAAACATACCGACTACTTCCGCGTAATGTCCCGCTAAAGATATGTGAATATGTACAAATAAATACGACCCTCCTCAATATTCATGATTCTACCCGCCGCTGTACATATCTCCTTTTTCCCGAAAATTCGATACACAAAACTAAAATTCCGTACGGCTAAAATGACACATTTGTCTACCCAATTTTGTTTTACAAAGAACGACAGAAAACATATTTTTTAAACCGCAAACTAACTTTAAAATATATACAAATCCAGGCATTTACCCTGCTAATCTACATCTGTTT